ATATTACTGAAAGAGTGGCTTTTTCAGGTAGAAAAGCCTGTGACGTTACGACCTTTCCATGATCTTTTATGTTCGCCCCTTTTTTTTTATAAAATTCGCTACTAATTCGTATCAATGATAGGAATCGTGTTTCATCCGTGAAGCAGTTGTGTTTGCATGGCTGTGTTTCGGTTTGAAGGATGGGATATGGCGTGAATTTACTGGGTACAGAGGAATAACACCTGAATCCTTAGGAATGGCAATGCATGGGGGGTATCATGGACGAAACAGTACACTCTGTTATGTCCATGGTACTGCTCATGCCTATAGGCGACGGTTACCACTTTCCATCAGGTGGGCCGGCAGCTTGTTTGCCATTCTAAGTTGTATAAAAAAAAAAGGAATTTTAAGGTGTTTTCATTTGTAGCGATATTTTTTATCTCCTCATAGTAAGTGTATTTTCCAAAGGAGATATATCGTTGTGCTGCGGCGTTTCTTCCTCATTGTGACAAAATCTGCAAACATTTTTTGGGCATAAGCCTAGTCGGGGCATGTGCTTGTTCAGTTTGCAGCGTCCTTGAGTGAGAGTCCTTCTTAATACACACATATTATTTTTACTCAAAAGAATTAATTTCTTTAAGTGATTTTCTGAAACCCCGTGAACCAGGGCTTTCGAATGATTTAATTCTGGCAACAAGAGCCAGCTATTATTTGCTGCATCTAAGCATTCAAGTTTGAGATGTCTGAGCTTTAGGCTTCGTGATATGCCACAATAAGTTTCTGGTCTTATTTGTGCAGTTTTGCCCCTTCCTTTGCTAATTAGCTATTCCATTTGCATGAATATTTAAGTGATACATATTACGCCGACCCCAAATAATAATTAGGTCAAGGGTAGGAAGATGATGATGATCCTTTTAATTAGTATATTAATTTAATTAGTTTAGTTTCTGTAATTAATTAATTTTTTTTATTGCACAATAAATATTTAGTTGTACAAGTGGCAAGCTTAATGCCATATGGCATCCTCTACCATCTAATCCTTGGATAAAAACAGAAAGCGTGTGAAGGACTTCCGCAAAGTAACACCTAATTCAATATTTTTTTTTAAATACTCGAAATAAAGCTTCACTTATATAAGAACTTACAATGATAGGGGATGACGGAGGTGTAGTTAGCAGACATGTTGTTATGCAGGGATATCGGTGAATCGTTAAGGAGACAACCTTGACTTAATTAATTCTATTGATCGGATGAAAATATCGTTAATCGGTTACACGTATTATTGTGTTTAATTGGCGTAACAGGACTCAATTGAATTGTTTGCTCCGTATCAAATAATCTAACACAACCCTATTAATAGTTGAAATAATTATTTATTTTCTTTATATAATCTTTATTGCACTAGTCAAGTAGTCTTATCGCTAAAGCAAGCTCTTCAAGCTTCTCTTCCTTTGGTTAGAGAAGAAAAAAACGTGGCTCTAGTGATATTAAGATGCTGCCTAAAAATGAGTGTTATACTCCACGTATAGACTGGGGGAAAGGGATTGTTAGCAATGGAGTTTGACAGCCCCATTGCTAGCAATATGCCCTATTAGGTCGACCTCCACGTGGTTCCCTCCTGGAAACCATCGTGAACAATTCTTGTGGAATTCGTCACGATGGGCCAACTGACCGGCTTCATCCTCACCTATCATTCTTCACTGGTGCTCCGCCAGCGAATCCCGATAGCGCAGGTGGGGTTACCATTCCATTATCACCCATTAAAAAAAAAAACTCCACGTATAGATGCATCTCGCTAGAGGTGTGCGTATAAAGCAACAGCTGAGGCAGCTTCTATTATCAGCAAAATGTACTGAATTTTTTCTTTAATGTAGCTTCTTTTAACTGTAATTATTATTGTAAGGCGATCTAGCAATTTAGTATTATATAGTTTTGTCAGTAAATTCTACGCTTGGCAGGCGATTTGGCATCCGCAGTTAGGCTTTGGTAATATTTTAAGAGGGGCTCTACTGCCCATCCTTCGACTGTTAAATTCCTTTAGTCGCCACTTACGACACATACGGGGTAGGAAGGGGTGTCCTATCTATGCCGGGACCACACGGCAATATTTATTAAACGCCAATTATTTATAACAAAAATAACTAGATACTTGTGCTTAGTAAATTGCGTATAATATTATTTTCTGTTTACGAATGTAAGAAAAAAAAAGGTCGAAATCGTTCGATATTGAATAGTTTGTCGCATCAGTCTAAGAAAACAATTGGTTGATAAATTATTTATCTGTCTCGATAAGTGGTAAACATGTTTGGTAAATACTGGCAGATACTTGTATACGCTGGCCAGTATCGAGTTTCTATTTGTGACAAACGTATTCGGATGCCGCCGGTAAAATTGCTAATCAACCACGGTATTTAGGTAGCCTTAATTAACCGTAGATGGTATGAACTAGGTACCTAGTATTAACCGTGCTGCCCATTTATATCACATTCATATTATGATAGTAGCAAAGATAAGTCGTGTCCACAGAGAGAATCTACTTGCACAGTATGTGGACAGTTTACGGCCAGCAACTGAGGCATTGATGGATGAACGTGCAATTTGGGCCGAGGCATAGCCGAGGCACACATATGTGAGTCCTAGGCTTGTATAGTACTTTTCTTAAACAATGCGCGGAAATCAAAAACACGATTTTTCTTTTTAAGTTTACTGACGAATAACGAACAATAATAATTTTTCACGCGCCATAATGTTCCTCTGTTTTTTTCAATAAACAACTTTCTATTTGTAAGTCGAAATTTAAATAAAACCTTTTATTAGGTACCTCCTTGGTATAGCCATGTTTCGAAATCAAAGTATATTTCAAATTATATTATATATTTTAAATTACCGGACAGATATGAGTTTACATAGTAATTTATCTGGCCGCAAAACACGACAGATATGAATTTTCATACAACTTTTGCCGGCCGCTGCCCGCATGTATCTGGCCAGTATAGCAATTTTGATTTATCTCGAAGAAGATCGTCATAATAATGCTCACATTTCCAAGCATGTTTGAAAAAATGTATTTTATATACCTTATATTTCCTTAGTTAACAAGTATCGTACAGTATCAATAATGAGTTAGGAACTCTAGATAATAAATCTATTGGTACAAAAATTTTTGTTTTAATCTCAAAGATAAGAAGACTGTCCCTTTTTCTTCATCCTGTTTATAATGTTTGTAGCTTAATATTGTTAATTCTGCATGTACAAATACAAAGTACTAGTTCTTCCTCCCAACAAAAGGAAATGGCTTACAAGGCACAGGTTCCCCTAATTTGTACGCCAGGGCAAAAAATATGTAACAGTGCAACCCCGTATTTGTTAATAAAATAAAAAAAAAAACATGTTTTCTTCCCGAGCATAGACATCTACAAAATAGAAGTAAACATAGTGTATATCAAAATATACTAATATTGTATATTCAATTCAGTGACCTCACAGTTTATTGCACGCATCCTTGCTCGAATTCGGTCGCTTGGATTAAGGTCGGTCACAACCATCAATCCGAACATCACTGTATAATCCTACATTATCTGCGTTATAATGTTTTTTGCGTTTTAATGGATGAAGACGGAATAGTAACCCCGCTTGCGGTATCAGTATACACCGGCGGGGCACCAGTGAAGGATGATAGGTGAGGATGAAGGCAAGCCAGTTAGCCAATAGTGACCAATCGAACAAGAATTAACCACTATGGTTTCCAGGAGGAATCGCGTGAAGGTCGACCTAATAGGGCATTTTGCTAGCAATGGGGCTGTCAAACTCCATTGCTAACAATCCCTTTCCCCCTGCGTTATAATGTTATACATCATCTGTCCCATTTGCACAACTTGTTATAACTAGAACCAAATGGCTGGTATACTGAGGTTAAGTTGCAGGAACATGGATAATATATCGTAATGATTTTAGCCTTGTGAAAGTGGTTGAACCTGGATGCACTACACACAATGGGGTCATTTCTGAAGTGACATTATCCAATATAAAAATTTTCTTTCGTTGTCATATTAAATTTAATTTTTGCACTTGAGATAGATTTTACGAATCGATTGATGTACGAGAATCTACTCAAGTCTTTAATAGATATTCCTCTTTTCATACTGATGTATACCATACCATACCAGTTATTAATTGCCCACTGCGGAATATAGGCCTTCATTTATTGGAAAATTTTAGCTTAGATTAATCCCCAATAGAAGGAGGTATTGGGGAGTTTGCCAGAAGTTGTTAAGCTTGGCAGGCGGGTTGGCAACTACAGTTAGGTCTCAGTGACGTTTTAAGAGAGACGCTGCTGCCCATCTCTTAACCATTAAACTTCCTTAGTCGTCTTTTACTACACCCAAAGAAAAGGAAGGGGTAGCCTATTCTATGCCGGGATCACACGATAATGTATGTAAAGCAGATTCGCAAACAAAATTTTCATTGATTCCTACGTAAAACATGTGAACGGAAGCGGCCGGCTTTAGAGCTTCTCCGGTACTTAACTCTTCAATTGATATAACGAGCATGAGTAACCCTGGATCCGGTCCCGTGATCATTCCCTTCGTGGCGGCCTCTTAATATTCGCTTATAAACAGCAATCATTACATGGAACAAAGTCTTTAGGCTACAAGCGGTATTTATTTTGCAAATAATGTTATGAATTTGAAAGATACGACTGTTACATATTGATATGTAATCCAATACGATAATATTCGATATAACAATAGTTTAAAACTATATAGCTGATTAACTGCAATCTTATCAGGAAGATACATTATTTTTATCAAATAATTAAATTACTTACATATAAATGATTAGTCGAGAACTCAAACTTCAGAATGTAAATGACATACGTATATTAGCTACCGAATTTCTCACAGACGCTCACACGTTTATCGCTCCCAGTTAGCAATTTGAGGAGACACTACGATAAGCCCACGACAATACAATAATGGACGCTCTTTTGCCTAATGGATGGCATCCTGCACGGTCCAAGCGCAGTCCATTCAATGCTGCGTACTCGATTCTCTCGCTCCTCTACGTTCCATTGCGAATTGCACAAACTAAATTTTCGAGTCAATGTCGAATCTCTTGCGTGTCTGTGATCCTGTTCCTCATTAGTCTTAGCGTAGGTTGTGACTGCGTCGCATCTTTGAGAACAATCGACGGCCCCAACCGAACGAACGATGTGTCTTTACCGATCCCGAAAACGATCAAGTTTGTTTTAAACCTTTCTTTACTTTGTAGTGTTTCGGATGCAGTGTTGAGGATGTATATGTGTGTTTTCTAATCGATATTTAGATCTGTGCGTAGTGATGGACATGCCTGAATACTACCGTATGACTTCTAGTGTGAAAAAAAAGATACTTTCGCTGGTTGAATCGTTGAGACAGTCGAGCGGTTCCATTTGCTTGATGCGATAACGTTTTAGGTGAGTATTCGTTTTAGAGTCATTAGAGTAAAGTATCATATCCATTTCTAATGGGCATTTAGCTTTGTCGCTGTGAACAGGTGCGTAGATTTTAGTAGATACCTATTTGTTTCTAATCTTTCAAGAATGCGTATAACTGCTTTTGTAATGAGCGCATATGCCGAAGTTCGCCTTGTAAAGACTGTAGAGAAACTATAGTTAACTGGGTAGAATCCATTTTTCTGCGTGACATAGGTACATAATGTCATAGACTTTATTTTATTCTTGTTATAGCTGTGTAGTTCCAGCATAGAATGGGACCTTACTTTCCCATGGGTGTCGTAAGAGGCGACTAAGGGAATTTAATGGTCGAAGAATAAATAGCAGCTTCCCTCTTAAAACATTACCAAAGTCTATTTGCGGTTGCCAACCCGCTTGTTAAATGTGGAAATTACTGGCAAAATCATCCAATGAGAGGGGGTCTATGTTCAGCAGTGGACAGTTAACGGCTGACATGATGATGATGATGATTATCATTTATTTTCTAATGATTGTTTATTTTCAACTGCATTATAAAAAAATCATGACAGCTTGCCTAATGTGTATGATTTACGCCATTTGTTAAACATAAAAACCATGCCAAAATCGCTATACATTAGGTACGTAGTCCTAAGATAGGCTTATCCAGACATACGTACGAACTATGGCAAGTATTTTGCGTTATCCTTACTAATATTATAAATATAAAAATGAGTTTGTTTGTTACCTTTTAACGTCGTAACTAACCACTGTGAAATTTAGTATATATGGAATGGAGAGAGATATATACACTTTTTTATCCCAATCAGTAAATAGTAAACAGGTCCGTTACGCGGACGAAACTGCGGGTAATAGTTAGCATTAAATAGACGGGCAAATAAATCGCAGCATTTACTTGTTTTTTTTTTATGATAAGAATAAACCTATGAATATATATAAAATAAACTTTGTGCTGTAGTATAAAATAATAATAAAAATAACAGCGTCTATTATTATTTTATTTTGATTTATCAAAAAACTTTTGACCAAGTGATAGAATTATTTTAATAACTATTTAAAAAGGCATCGATAAAAAAAACTTCGTATGAGCTATCAACCTTCTTCAAAAATAGAAACTATTTATTTATGACTTCGAATACAAGGTTCTTCATTAATTTTTTTTTGTAGTTGTTACCTCATAACATCGTTATGAGGTAACAATACTCGTACAATATCGTTAGTTGGAAAATTATTTGAAAAATTTTTTGTAGTAAGGTATATACTCTCAGATTGGTTACACAGAAATTTTATCAAACTCGGTTGAGCAGTTTAGTTTTTAAATTAAAATAACTGGTTTTGCCACAACTGAAATCGCTTTTTTTTTTGTAGAACATAATTTTAACATTTCAGTTGCTGATATCAAATTATAACTCGATAGCAAGTTGTTGCACTAATACCAATCTAACTATTTAAGGATTTATTTTTTATGTTTAAGTCATTTTAACTTGTTTTAAATTATAATTTAACGCATTTCTTGTTCAATTTTAATTACTTACGAATGAATGAATATATTAGTTTATTTTATTTGAATTATACAATATAGGAAATAAGCAAGACAATAAATGTTAGGATATAGTCGTATATAAGTTATTAAAATGAAAGTGTAGTTAGCAGAAAAAGTATTGTTTTAATTATTGTATTTATTAGTTTAAAACATATAAAATCAAACATTCTTTTTAAACCTTTTGTATTGCATAGATATAGAATAGATAGGCCGGTATGATGTATCTAAAACTTCATTCAATAAGAAAACAATTCAATAACAATAACAGACGTGGTTAATAGATACATTATTATACCAATCTTTACCTATGCATATGCATATTTAGAGGTTATGTACGTATTTAATGATTTTAAACAGTATTAAATAAAAGTTGTACTCACCTTTGATCTTGTATGTTTACGTCAAAAATTTGAGGTTATAACAACTTTGTCCCAAATATTCCAACGAGATCATGGATAACATACAACAACACCGAATGTTTCTACAGTAGACACTTCAAAATTAATATAACTTTAATAGTAATTTTCCAATACCCCTATTACACATTATACTATAGGTTCTCGTACTTTGTTATTGAGCTAAATGTGTAATAATTCTAGTCTACTTCTACTCGATCAACACGATAGCGGTTTCGTTTTTATTGCAAAGGAATAATAAGTACATTAGCAGCCTTGTAGTTCTTGTCAGTGACGATAGATGGAGCTGTACATATTTTATGGTAAAATATATAGTGTTTATTATGAGCTACGTCACAATTACTTTTTAATAGGAATATAAATAAATAGAATAATTCGTATCCTTGTCTATTATTTTTAAAATCATTTGAATATGAATTTTACATATTTTGCAAGAAACCATTCATTTTTCATTTAAAAAAAAAATCGTATTTCTTTATTTTAGTTCTTAATCATTATAGGTACATACTTATTAACCAATATTTTAATGGCTTGTAAATTTACTCATTCTACTATACTATTCTGGACGTAGTCATAGAAGCTGTAGATTCCTAAAATAGTAATTAATTTAGAAAATTTTGTTATTTAATTTTATTTTGGACGGAAAATTCATGATGATTGATATAGCGCCATCTACTTACGAGATAGGCTTTCTATTAAAAAAAGGAAGTAAATAAAAATTTAAAAAGCTTCGGAAACTTTTGAAAAATGGCTCTATTACACTTATAATTTTCATTTCTTCACACAGCTGCACTATTTATGTAATCACTACATTTTCTAGCTAGCTTCTAAGTGGGTAATAGTTAATTTGTCCGCAATTAATTTTTCTTTGTCCGCCATCTTGCTGAAACCTTATTTTCTCGTTTTCTTTAACGAATTGACTTCATTACTTTACGTAATCGATTTATGTAACAATTTTTGCAAATGGCAATTAAAAAATATTGCTTTATATTAAAATAAAAACAATTATTTTATATTAAAATAGAATACTATATATTTCGAAAATTTTGTTTGTGTTTTCTTTTATTTTACTCTTGGAACATACGAATACTTCTGTAACTATTATAAAGTCGAATATTTAGATAGATAGATTTTCGTATGCAACTTAGAATGGCAAACAAGCTGACGGCTCATCTGATGGAAAGTCATAACCGTCGCTTATAGACATGAGTAGTACCATGGGCATAACAGAGTATACTGTTTCGCCCATGATACCCCCCATGCATTGCCATTCCTGAGGATTCAGGTGTGATTCCTCTGTACCAGAATAATATTTTTTAGAAATTTTGACTGTCTGTCTGTATGTTTGTTCCGGCATCATGTAAATACTACTACATCTAATTGAATGCGGAATTCATATTTGTGTTCTTGAAAGTCTTACTTGAACTAAAAACACCACGTTTTTTTTAATACACCATCCAAAAGTGGTTTATTCCATTAATTTTATTACTTATATATATATATATATATATATATATATATATATATATATATATATATATATATATATATATATATAGTATATTTGCATCACTTACAGCACATAAATAACATTAGATATTGGTACATACTTAAAAAAGAAATAAAATATACAAAAAAAAAAAAACAAAAAGAAAGTACATAAAAGATTTAAAGTTATATAATTTTTTGTGAGTGTGCCACAGTAACACAAAATGGTCACGACTCAGTTTATTGCTTTGCCCTCAAAAAGAGCAAAACACTGATATTCTGTTGTGGCCAAAAGCTAGCCGCGAGAATTCATGACAAAGAAAAAAAATATATAAATAAACGAATACTTGTAAATAAATTATTTCTGACCTTCATACTTGAAAGTAGCTAGTGTGTAATATAATTATTACCTTACCATGAGCAGACTCGTCTAAGACACGAGTAGAAATTTAAAATGTAACCCGTAAAAGCTAAGTTTTTAATAGAATAAGTTTGAACTGTTTTTAGACTTCAACACGTGATAATATTCTACTACCCTATTAGATCCTCGAGATTGATGGAAACTTAAAGTCGGTTAAGTATTTTATAGAAAGCTACATTATCAGTGAATAATATGGTATTTTTAACCGACTTTAAAAAGAAGGAAGTTCATAATTCTGTTAAATTTTTTTTATATTTGGTACCTCATTACCCCGTCAGTTCTAAGGCGATTTGTAAAATTCTTTTTTTTTTATCTGAAAGTATATACTTACATATCAATTCCACAGAAATTTTATAAAAATCGATTTAGTAGTTTAGTTTTTAGATAAAGTATCTGGTTTTGTAACAATGAAAGTTAGTTTTTTTTTTTTTATGTGGGAAACTATCTTTAATTCTATTTACCTATAAGAAAATTAAGGATCCGTATAATAAATTGTAACTAGCTACTTTAGCGAAGCCGGGGCTGACTGTTAGTCACTTATATCGCTTTTTCTCTCTTTTCATTTAAGAGTTTCCTCTTGTCGGTGTAACTAATTCATGCGTCTTCTTCCAGCTAGCTCCTTGACCTCCCTATACGACATGACACCTAGCGTTTCTTTTATCTGTTCCATGTAGTTATTCCTCGGTCTTCCTCTTCCTCTTTTGCCCTCTACTTTCCTTCTACTATGCTCTTTAAAAAAATGTCGTGTTGTATAAGATGGCCCAGCATTTTGCCTCTTCTGTTCTCTATTCACTTATACAAAACAAAGAAATAGAAAAAAATACATTTTTCTTTCTTATTATATTAGTACACATATAGTCGAAAAACGTTTTCCTCTGCTCCCTGGCTCTCTCTCTCTCTGAAGGTAGTCTAGTAAAAAAATCATACATTTTATAGGTAAAGATACTATATGTTAAAATATATGTGGATACGTAATTCAACTACGAATAGGTACTTCCTAACGTAAACATATAATTATCTGCTTACGACACTACAGTTAATATGGCGTGATGTTTTTCCCCTATCACGGAATAGGCAGAGTTTTAATCTTTACTTAATATTCTAAAGGTAATAATTAAAGATTGTGTCCCACAAACAAAAACAACTTCAATTGTGTTAAAACAAGTTTACCAGAGGGAGACTTTGTACAAAAGTCATTTGCTTGGGCACCTCTGTTCTATTTGTGTTTCTACCGTGAAGCAGTTGTGTTTGCATGGCTGTGTATCGGTTTGAAGGGTAGGATATGGCGTGAATTTATTGGGTACAGAGGAATAACACCTGAGTCTTCAGGAATGGCAATGCATGGGAGTATCATGGGCGAAACTGTATACTCTATTATATTCATGCTACTGCTCATGTCTATAGGCGACGGTTACCACTTTCCATCAGGTGGGCCGTCAGCTTGTTTGCCATTCTAAGTTGTATAAAAAAAAAACTAAATAAATATTACTTTCTTTCCTTCTTCTTTCTTTCAATTGTAACAAAACCAATCATTTTGATGTAAAAATTACTACTCAACCGGTTCTGATAAAATTTCTGTGGAACTAATCTGTAGGCATATCCTTTCAGATAAAAAAAAAATGTATATTCCAAATCGGTACAGAACTGACGGAGTTATGAGTTAACAAATATAAAAAAATACGCCTTAATTGAGAATTTTCTTCTTTCGGTTTTGCCACAATTGCAGTCGATTTCTTTACGCAATACCATTTTAATCAATACATTACAATCAATCTCTAGCGAGTTATACTTACAGAAAAAGACCATTAGAAAAATAAATACAATCCTTCCGTGCTTTCGCAGTCGGATAACGGACAAATAGGTGGGTAATGTGTTTCCATGTTAGGCGCAGCAAGATGATGTAATGACATTTAAGTATTTATCAATCACCTGGGCTGATGGAAAACGGGAGCTCGACAAGTGCAATTAAAATTATTTTATAACGACTACACGGAAAACTATTATGGTGAACATAACAACATGAAAGAATGGAATAAAGACATTTATTTATAACTATAAATATATATATATACAATATTTATATAATTGTTTATTTGTAACACTTCTCTTATATTAAATGTTACTCATTTTACTCAACTAGGTATTACCTTGAGAAAGTCCATATCACTGGTTATTTGATTACAATTATTTTGTTTAATTCCGCTACCATTAATATGCGTGTGACTGCAAACACTCAAAAACTGACCACCACTATTATAAACAGAAGTTCCACAACCTTTCATATTAGTCATCTATCTTCGACTGGCATTTTGATTATTGTTTTATCTATTATATTTTGACATTTGTTTTATCTCTAAACGAGGCATCTTCAGGCAAATTATTAGGTCGGTGCTTGCGTTCGGCATTGACAGTTTGCCTACCGAGCGGTTAACACTAGGCTCCGAGCAGCAGTCGAAGATTGATGTCTAATACAAGTATGAAAGGTTGTGGAACTTCTGGTAGTAATAGTAGTGGTCAATCTTCTAGAGTTGGCAGTCACACACATACTAATGGTAGCGGAATTAAACAAAATAATTGTAATCAAATGATTAGTTACATTAAATGTTGTCAGACTATTGGTCATAGCAGAAAACTAGTGTTTTGTTCATTAAGGGCAAAGATACACACTGACTTGTGGCTTTTTTATGTTTTTTTTTTTTTTTATTTAACTTAGAATGGCAAACAAGCTGACGACCCACCTGATAGAAAGTGGTAATGGTCGCCTGACTAATGAGTAGTAGCATGGACATAACAGAGTATACTGTTTCGCCCATGATACTCCCCATTCGTTGCCATTCCTGAGGACTCAGGTGTTATTCCTCCGTACCCAGTAAATTCACGCCATATCTCACCCTTCAAACCGAAACACAGCCATGCAAACACAACTGCTTTACGGTTGAAACACGAATGGGACAGAGGTGCTCAAGCAATCGACTTTTGTACAGTCTCCCTCTGGTAAATATTGCTGCGGCACACACATGTATCTAACACTTTTATATATAGTAAAACTTTAAAAATACAAAGTGCTAGAGAATAAAGTAATCTATTAAGTCCATTAATATTATCGATTGGTTAATAAAGCTATTTGAATTTAAATAAATTAATAGACTTATTATAAAATGTATTTCTTCTTGTCAACCTTTCGTTAATTAATTCTATATATTATATATAAGTGCTTTATATTATTCTCAATTTCGTGTATAATATAGTATATA